TTCCGTATTTCCCCTTTGACCCTTGCAGGGACATAGGCAGAGATGAGGTCAGGGTTGGCCTCTGCTTCTGCCCATTATGATTCAGTCAGGCAAAGGGGCAACAATATTCAGGCTGCCAATTCAGAGATGGAGAGTCAGTGGCCTCCTGGGGTAGAGTCACCTAACAAATCCATGGAGTTTTCAACCTTTTAAGGGGATTCCTTCCCACTACATGTTAGATTATGGGCAAAAGTGGGCAATCTTTTGTGGGAAAGAGAGACAGATTCCCCCAATTCTCGCTAGGTCAGGTAGCTTGCCGTGATAGGTATGAGCATGTTGAGTTGTAGTTGAGGTTCCTGGGCACTTTCAATGATCTGTACATTCCCAACAAGTATTCCCAAGCCAAGTGAGACTTTAAATAACAAATGAAATGTGCCACAAAATGGTCAAGTGAGAGAATTCCGTAAAAGGAATAAATTTAATACGTAAGCGGCTTTAGTGGAGCTTTTATCTTGTGTTTTGAACAAGGAGTTCTGCGTTTTAAGTCTTGACTCAGCCTCTCAAATTGTATGATAGGCCTCCTCTTGTTCTCAGCAATCCTGCATTGGTCACCTAAGATTGTATTTACTTTCCCCTTTTTCCTCTCTTTCAATGAATTGTTTACTTTGAACCCCGTCCAGATGTAGGTGATCTTATAAATATCGTGGGTAAAAATGCCTTCTTAATCTGTGTCTTCAGTCTCCTGATAGTCCTCAAAACTTCATTACCCGAGAAGCATGGTCTTGAATCAAATATCAACCTTACGCTTTATGAGGTAAATGATCTCTAAGGTAATAATCAAAAAAACTGCCCAGATTTCTAATCCTAGCTTTACAATTCTGCTCAGTTACATTTGTAACTTATTATTTTTTATTTAACCAATAATTTTGGTTGCTTACTAAGTGTCACGTACTCTGCTAGGTACTAAGGCCACAATCATTCATTCAATAGACACTTACTAAATATGTACTAGATGCTAGAGTCGAATGTAGAAGTGAAGGATATAGTGATATGAAAGAGAACCAAATATTCTGGGGTTTTTTTTTGTACCGGGGATCGAACTCAGAACCTTGCACTTTCGTGGCAGGTGCTGGAACCACTAAGCTACATCCCCAGCCCTAGAACCAAATATTCTGAATTAGAAATTATATTTTAGTTGGGAGAGAGGTGGAGACAGACATTAAGTAATTAGATAAATAATGTACAACTTTTGTAAAGCTTAGCACAAAACATTGTATTTTGAGTTACTTGAAAATATAGATTGATTCTTGTGGAATAGGGAAAATTTTTTCATATGTCCAAGGTTATCATTAACTAATGAGAATTAATGACAGATTCATTTACTAAATCCCAAGTGCCTAATGGGAAAACTGAGGAGCAAGTGAAAATTCCTAGCCTTTAAATGGCTCAAAATAAAAGTAGTAGTTCAAGGAAATATATACAAGGATCAAACCAGTAGGAGAGAATCAGCATTTTGCTTCAAACAGCATGATATGACCAGTAAAGTCAAAATGGGGACCTGATCCTGGAGACCTACTCTGAGGATACTGGGAGGAGATACTTAGAAGGAGTAGAGAGGACATTTTGTGAAAAGAGATACCATAAAGAGAAAGATAAAGGAATGATGATAAATGTAAGTGACATTGAAACCCTTACACAAATAATGAATAAACATGAGTGTTAAGTAATGAATTCTAGACATTAATTTGTTGGACACATAAGATACAAGATTTAGAGATTCATGATTGGATGCTTAGCTCTTTAAAGATTAAGATTAGTAGTATAACAGAGGAAAGGAAAAAGTCATATGACTTTTGGGGTGGATCTTCCAATGCTGAACCAACACTGCTATCCTTACAACAAAACCACTTTCTACATACTGCCAGATCTGGCTTCTAATAGTTTGTTTTGTTAAACAAATTTCTATCTATGTTCATACTTTTTTCTTCTATTATCTTTATCCAGTTTTAGGATTAGCACAATGTTGAGTTTCTAAGATGAGGGGAGAAGTGGGGAAAGGAAGCAGTAGGGGAAAGGAAAAAAGGGAAAAGAAAAAATATGAGAAAAGGAAAAAAATGGAAACAAAGTCTTTGCAAATAGGTAAGGGTGGAGGGGGTGAAGGGAGGGCAGGGGAATGGGGAAAAAAAAAAGAACCAAGATACTCATGTAATGGTACAAGATCCCAATGATGAATGTAACTGTATTTTATACCAATAAACTTAATGGGAAAAAAAAGATTAGTAGTATATTAAGTAGGTTTGATCACTTAGAAACTAAAGGTTGAAAGGGTCAGTTACAGAGCTACTGCCACTATACAGTTGTAAGCTGGCAAAAGTGGCTTATGATCTGAATTGGATTAAGTATAAAATGTGCATTGATATTATTTATGATAGGTGGTATAGGATCAAAAAGGACCAGTTTCAAACCTAAGATGAGCAGAATGCAACTTTTTCAGAATAAAAATAGAAGATTAATTAAAAAATTAAAAAGCAATAATTTCCCTACCAGTAAAATGAGGAGCTCCATTTTCCATCTTCACTAGCTCCTTTAGTATGTCAACTCAATACTTGACAATGAAACGGACAGTCCATTTGCCCTGAGAAGCTGAATAGCATCCACTGTCACTGCAAATAACACCATTTCCTCAGTGAAGGTTGATCTAAATTACTTTAACAAGGCTAAATTAAAAATCAAACATGTTGATGCATTTAATGTGAGGCACAGGGGACAGAAAAGATCATCAAAAATGAGTGGGAATATTGATTGCCATAAACAACCCTTCATAGAGCAAAACAGCTTCAGTGCTGACCCTTGAAATGCACTCACCCTATTCCTGGTATATTTACTCTGAGTTTATATAATTTAGTAGAATTATTTCTTTTTGTTATATTTTATTTTTAATATGCTATCTTAACTTTCTTTCACACCACAGTCTAATTTTCTCTTAAACCATCATAATGGTAATGATAATTCTATCTTATAGTTTAAAATTCTATGAAAGTCTTTTATTTCTTCATATTAAATGTGTGTTAGGTAAAGCATACTTGGTTGAGGTATGTTTTGATACTTACAACATTTTTTACCAGTATGTGTTTGCAGTGCATAATGATCACTGTCATTGTGGAGAGGTAGTAATAACCCATCTTAATTCTTTTTGTATCTTTTACCTCCTCCCTCCCCCTCCCTCCATCTTTTGGTGCACTTTCCACTTGCTTAATGATACTTTACAGAAAAAAAAATTGCAGTTTTGAAATATGTACAAATAGGTAATTTGGATATTGTAAATTAGAAGAAATGTTATTGAATCATCTAAATTCTTACTCTATTTTCAAGCACTTTCTAAAGGAAGAACATGCCATACCCTTTAAGATTTTCCTTTTAAAATTTTATTTATTCATTTTTATTGGTAGATATTTGCCATACATAATGCTCGCATTCATCATAAGGAATTTGTACCTGTGCTTAATGAGTCTTGTCTTAATTCTCTATTTCCCATTCCCCTCTCTTCTCTCTTCAACCTTTCTTCTCTTCCCCATCCTGCCTCCCCCTCCCTTATTTCTCTTCCCATTTGAACTTGTTCTTCCTTGGAATATTTTCAAAAAAATATTTAAACTCTTTATCTGTTAAAGTAATATTAAGAATAATAATTATGCATTCTTGCCTAATATCTGTTGTCAGAATTGCAGTAATGAGTGGGATATCTTAGGATAGGAAGCCAAGTAAGAGAGTTCTTTTTCTTTTGCATTGTATATTCATATTGCAGTTCAGCCCTGACATGAAACATTACATGAACTATATCCCCATTCTTCAACCCAATAATCTAGTAAATTCATAACTGTATCTCTAAATATTTCTGCCTACCCTAAAACAAATATGTCATCTTTAGTCCATCCTGCCCATTTCCTCTCTAACATACATTTGATTTCATCCCTCCTGTGCTTCAGTACTGTCTACAGAATGAAATATCTCAATGTGATAGTTAAAGAACCTTCAAAATAAGACTAATACTTCATAATCTGAAGTAAATGTTAAACCCTTGCCACGTTCTAGAATCTCTGTGGCAACAGAGGCTCTAGGAATAACAGACATGTCTTTGCCCTCATGTAATTCATGATGAACAAGAATTATAGGCCAGTGTGAACAGCATGTGTACGTGTGTTTGTGAAAAGTTCAAGTCGGTTTGCAAAAGGTAAGAAAGTTAGTTTTCAGAAGAAATGATGGAAAAGGAAAATGATCTATTTAAAGTCTTGTAGGCATTACAGAATGCAACAAAAATATTTAGAAAAGGCAAGCAGGTCCATACGAAAGACATACTGAGTTTACAAAAGTCTTGGAGTGAGAGCATGTCATGGTCATTTACAAGTAGTTTTTATTGAAAGGAAAACATAGAAGGAAACACAAAAGATTATTAAGATTCCAGAGAAACTACACTGTGGAAATTGCACAAAGGGGATACACAGAATAAAATGAGGACCAGTGCAGAGTTGATCAGTGTCCAGGAGGATATAAAGGCAGAGAGGAGTAGTGAGATTAATTAAAAATAAAATGATCATAATTGCATGACAAGGCACCTAGAGGATTGAGGAGAAGGAGGAGTGTAAGTTTACCTCTATGTTTCCTCCTGGGAAAATGGGTCAATTCCATTACAATATTAAAAGACTGAAAAATTCAGAAAGAAAAGTCTATAAGAAGTATGTCAGAGAGGAGATAAAGAAGTTGATTTAGATCCTTCAAGGATCTGAGTAGCAATCTTGTCCAATAAGCAAGTGGACTTGAAATCATGGCCCATTTATACCATGATGGTCTCATGTAATTTACTGATATGGAGCTTAATTTGTAGAAGTGCACTTTTGCTAAGTACATATCTCATAACAGATCCCATTGTTAAGTGACAAATGACTCAGGGGGGAATTCTAAGCTTAATTATGACTCTGGGCACTATTAAGAGGTAATTCATACTCAGAGTTATAGTAGCCAAGGTAGGAGTATAAAAACTACTCAAAGCCAGGAATGGTAGTGCACCCCTAGTAGTCAAAGCCACTGGGGAGGCTGAGCCACCAATTCCCCTGAGCTCTCCAGTTCAAGGTAAGCCTAGGCAACATATTCTCAAAAATGAGGGGCTCACACTTTTAAAAAGTTCATATTCAAGATAATACTTCAATCCAAATTTCTTGATAATAACAGTGTACCTCTTTACCTGTTCCTAATTTCTCTTTTCTCTTATAAAAGTCTTAATGAATTTGCTTGCATTTCCTTTAGATATATGCTCCACTAGCAAATATATTACCAGCATTACATTGTGCATCAGTGTCATTTATAGTTTTAGGTAACAAAAAGTCTTATTCCACATCTCATAATTTACATAGGTGATTTTAAAATTAATTGGATACCCACTTTTAAAATTATATTTTCCCCTTGTATTGCAATATATTTTGAAGGTGCAGTAAGTTTACAAAAGTTATTATATCTTTAATACATTATAGTACTCAATTTTTTCACTGCTTAAAGTGAAAAAAATTTTTTAAGACATATATATTTCACTAAGGTGATATGCCTGGATTGATTTTATTACTTTATTGTTATTACATATTTGTTATTTTTAGTACATTTCATGCACTAATTAAGTTAATTTCACAATTATTTTAGTTATTTTTCCTGAATGTCCTAAATCACAATATAAACAGAGGCAAATTCCAAGATATTAAGTCAAAACTAATTAAAGATAGTTGCTTCTAGTTCATAATTTGAATACCACTGGCAATCAAGAGAAGATTGAAAAATTTAGTAATTTCCTAAAGGTAAGTAAAATTCTGGTAAATATTATAAAATTTTGCAAGACCAAGTTATAAATTATAACATTATGAAAATAGTATTTAAATAAAAGGGACAGAAAAACAAAGGAAAAATGTATAACTCTGGGCAATGGAAACTATTTCTTCCTTTTCTAAAATTATCTAATAAACCACACACAACAGGAAACACATCAGTGATTATTCCCGTTGTCAACATTTCTTCATTGGTGAATCTAAATGTTCTAATGCTATGCACTTAGAGTAGCTGTAGCAACAACCGATACTTTCATTGGGTTTTGATTCTTCTCTAAGATTTACAGAAAGTGTATTGATTTGTGTGGGCATCACTATTAGGTGGACCTCAGGCATTATTCTTTGGCTATCCTCTTGTTGTGCTTGATTTGGTTATTCTAAAAGACTACAACTCTCTGAACTCACAGGTAGCCATATGCCATAGGCAGAAGCAGACACTGCCATAAAAATTAGAAGGAAGAGAAAAAGGGATTTATATAAGTTATTGAACTAAGCAAGATTGAGGCAGAAACAACTTATATAGTACTTGCTTTTTCTTTACAAAATGAAACAATATCCCTGCATAAGAAAAGAGACTAGACCCAGGGAAGATATGCCAAAAATTATGTATTTTATTTGTATAAGTATTCTATATATGTGACAATTATTTGCCTTTGAAGTTTTATTTTGAATTTTTAGGACAGTGAAATTGCTCTGTATAATACTGTAACGGTGAAAACAAGTCATTCATTTGTAAAACCATAGAAGATATCACAAAGAATGTAAGTATAGACTTTGGTTAATAATAATGTATCAATATTGATTCATCAATTGTAACAAATCTACTACACCAGTGAAAGATACTAATATAGGGAAACATTTGGGAGAGAAGCATATAATGGAATTCTCAGTACTTTAGGTTCATTTTTTCTGTACATCTAAATCTAATCTTTAAATATTTATGTATGTAAATTTTAAAAACCAGTAAAAATCAAAATTGATAAAAAGTCAAACTCACAGAAGAGTAAAGAAGAAAAAAGCAATCTAAAATCCTACAATTCAGTGAAAACTACTGTCAAAATTCATTCTCTGACACTCTCTCTCTCTCTCTCTTTCTCTCTCTTCCCACTTGCTCTCTTACTAACTCCCCTGTATTTTATTTTTTGCAGAATTCAAATTAGGAGCATAAACCAGATTCATACTGCCCCTGCTAGATTCCAATCCTGGCTCTGCTACTAAATAAATGTGTGGATTTAGGCATATTACTTACTGATTTTTGCTTGGATTTCTTTATTTGAAAAATATGAGTAATTATAGATCTTGCATCATTAGACAGTGAGATGATGAAATGTAACTGTAAATATGAATAGGTGAGCTCAGCTCACTGTCTGGTGCATAATGAGTCCTAAGTGAATGCTCCTCCTTCTCCTCTCCTTTCTCTATATTCTTTTTCTTAACAAGAGTTATTGTATGTCAGTGAATATGGAATGTATGTGTTATCATTTTCAAGATTCCCAACTGCATTATTTTTTTTAATTAACTCTTTTCGAATGAGCACTGAGTTTATTTCCATGGTGGGCCATGGATGGTTTTTACATTATGCTGCAGTAAACATCCTGGTCTGTGAATCTCTACTGATTTATCTGATCATCTTTGGATATCTCCTCAATATGGAATTGTTGGACTCCCAATTTCTGTCAGGTTCCATTGTCTTCCCGGGGAACATATAGTTGGGAAGCTTGCCCTTCCCTGCTTCCCCATTTTTATCTCCTGAATAGTTCCTTTACTCTACTTCACTATCTTTGTAATAAAATACTGTCAACTCTTCTGACACACTATATTCTCTTTTGTTCTTGGGACACTTATACGTATTACTTTTATTGGCTCCAATGTTGTCAGAACAGTTTCTTTAGTATTTATTTTATTTTATTTATTTTCTCCTACAAAGGTGTAAGTTTCATAAAAGCAAGAAGAATATATCTCTTTAGAAGGTGTCTGGTCTCACTATTGACATCAAATGTTATCATGTTTCTGGTGTACTAGACATAGGTATTATCCTCTCTCCTGAGGTAAACTACGTTCCAGAGTTAATTACCCATACACTAGCTACATTGTATATCTCGAGTTACCAGTGTGGTTTCCCATGCTCACTGAGACAGTAGCAACTCATAGCACTTGCTAAACATCTTTGGCCCAAATAAGGACCTTGGATGTGGAAAACATAATTCATGCCTTATCTCCATTCCATGAGAATTGAAATCTACACCTTGCTTCCTTTTATGACTATCATTTTCTCCTTATCTTGCATAAAGTAGCATCAGAAAGACTGTGGGAGAGGTGACCTTTAAACTTTTCTACCTTCCCTTCCCCTTACATATGTCTTGAATAATCCCAAGGACCATCTGTGAATAAACTGAATTTTACTCTGGTGACAAACTAGTGTTATATCACAATGTTGACATTAAGGAAGTTACCTGTGTGGAGTTCACTTCATCATGTGAACTCTGAAAACTGAAAGTTTTCTCTTGTTGGTTGTCAAAGAGGAAGTCCAAAATTGAAAGCCCAGGAATGATTTGATACACAATTGTCAATGCAATGTTAGATGAAATGGCAACATGGCAAGAAATTTTGACAGTCTTCTGTTCTCAGCTCAGAACCAGAAAGAATACAGTGAAACTAAACTCTGTGGAAATGGAAAGAGGATATGAGGAGCAATGGAGAAAGGCAAGGGGAGTAAAAATGATCAAAAATGATATGTATATGTACCAGTTCTCCCGGATGGATGCAATTATTATGTATGGCAAAGATATACCAACAATAACAGATACAATAACATGAAAAAAGTGCATGGAGGAGGAAATAAAATGCAGATAATAGAGCAAACTTGCCAATGACATTATAGAAATTGTTAATAATAAAGGAAGTTATCATAGTTAAAATATCTGTTAATGAAAGAACACTTAATGAAATAGTAGATCTAGAAAATCATTTGTAATGCCAGTTAACACCATAAAAAGAGAAGCAAACACATATGGATCTCTTGATAAAAGTATATCATTACAAAATGAAGGAAGGAAGGAAGGAAGGAAGGAAGGAAGGAAATCACTCGTAAATTTGAAAAAGTCTAAATCCCTTTAGTGTACAGAAAACACATTTTATAAATTCTATAGGGATAAAATAAGCAAAACTCAGATTCTAGGAAATTCTTCAGGCAAATTGTTCAGTTTCTTCTACAAAAGAATTGCAAGAGGGAATAAGGGATGAAGTAGATCTATAGATCAAGAGAGAAATAAGATGCATGTCAAACAATTTCAATATATAAACTTTGAATCTTGATTTTATAAAAAACAATCTTAAAGTATAAAGCTTTTGAGAAAATCTGGACACTTTTTTATGGAGGATATATGGTGGTATTAAGGAATTATTGGAGAATTTTAATGATGTTGTAGCTCTGTTTCTTAGAAAAAAATAAACAACTGAGCATAAAAAAATTATAATTTTGGAATTGGATTTTTCATCAACCCATCATAAGACTCAGACTGGCTCACACCTGATTTTAGCTCTGTGTCACTGCAAAGGAAAAATGCGGCCACATTGTCAGGGGTGGTGGTTCATGCCTGTAATCCCAGCACTCAGGAGAATCGCTACAAGTTTGAAGCCACCCTGGGCTACCTAGTGAGTTCAGGGCCAGCCTGGACTACATAGTGAGACCCTGTATCAAAAAACAAAATAAAACAAACAAACAAACAAACATACAAAAAAACCATGGCCATATCATGTTCGACTTTTGATCTATGACATTAGCGAAAGAATATTGTTCTAAGCTCCTAATATGGTAGTAAATTACAGTGAAGCAATAGAAAATTAATACAGCCAGGGTGGAAAGTGAAAGTGGAAAAGATGATTAAACTTTCTATTTCCTTGAAAAGTATTTCTGTCTCCTCCTTTGAGCATACTTGAAACTTTGTATTTGTTGAATAACTGAATACGGATCCAATCAGTGGACAACATCACAAATAAGACACTAAGAAAAACTCATACCCTGCAGTGGTAGACACAGATCACTGAATTACTTTTAGCTGATGATAGATGAAAAAGTTATGTTCATATGTTTGATAATTTGAAGCTTGAGATGTTAAAGAAATACAATTTCTTATGTGTTTGTTTATTTATTCATTTACATAAGTTCTTCAAGCTGGCTTTGAATTCTTGGACTTAGTATATTTTTCCAAACAGATTTGAGCAGTGCAGCCTGTTTTTTAAAATTAAATTTAATGATTGTTAAATATTTTCCTTATTGAGGAAAATTATTTCTAAGACTATGTAAAAAGTGTAATAGTAAGAAAAGATAGAGTGTAGGGTGAGGGAATATTCTATATATGATTATATATATATATATATATATATATATATATACTTCTTTATTCATTGATTCAATTGCAAATAAAAATATTTAGAAAAAGGTAATCTTATCTGTACTGAAGATATATAGACTTATTTTCTTGCCATTTTTTTTCCTGAACAATATAGTACACCAACTACTTGCATAGCTTTTGCATTATATTTGGCATTAGAAGTAATCTAGGGATTCCTTAAAGTAGACATTTGGAAGGAGCAGAGAGGGAGAGGAAGGATAGGGTATTTAAAAAAAGAATTAAGATGTATTATATACATGTACCAACTCCTCATAATAAATATAATCATTATGTAAGACAAACATGTACTAATTTTAAAAATTAAGTATACAGGAGGATTTATGTACTTTATGTGTGAACACTATGGCATTTTATATAAGGGACTTGAGCAACTAAGGATTTTGGATGTTGGAAATAAAATATAGATAATCAGGGCTACATTCCTCGTGAAGGCTGTGAGAAAGAGCCCCTTTCATTACCTCTTCCTGGATGTAGAGGCAGGCCACACTCCTGAGATTGTGGCCCTACATCACTCTGAGCTCTGCTTCCTTTCTCACATCCCTTCCTAACTCTTCTGAGACTTTCTTTCATAGAGAAGGAGAGAAATGTAATCATCATTGTGACTGAATTGAGCCCAATGCATAATCCAGGATAATCTTCCCATCTCAGAAACTTTCATTTAATCACATCTGCTGTCTCTTATGCCATGTTACTGTAACATGGTTAATGATTTTGAGAATTAGGATGTGGGCCGCTTTGAAGGCTTTCTGCCTTAAAAATGCATAATATGGGTCAGTTGATTATGGGCCTTGATGGGTCAATTTAAAAGATTAGGGACATTGAAAGTGAGCAATAGAGTGATTTAATGAAAATGGCATTTTAATAAAATTAATATTGCAACAAATGGCTCATCAAAGCTGAAAATAGTTTCCATAGTAGATTACTTGTAGTAATCTATGTTAGATGTGACTGAGTATGATCTAGGAGACAGCATTGAAATATATGTTAACACTAGATATCATCATACTGTGCTATGGATAGATAAGAAACACACGAGCTTAAATAGTGTATAGTTTTTCTTATTTTTTTTAGGTGTCGGAGATTGAACTCGGGTCCTTGCACTTGCGCAGCAGGCAGCAAAACAACTGAGCTGAATCCCCGGCCCCTAGTTTTTCTTATATGAGAACCCCACAATATAAATAAAGAGCGAAATGAAATATTGATAATAGAAAGTAAGGAAACACATATTTTCCAAATGGAAAGGGGAAAAGGAGGTGGAGAGAAGGGGAAAGGAAGGAAAAGAAGGGGGATGAAAAAAGGTTTAAGATGTGTCGTATCCATGCACCAACTCCACACAAGGAATAGAAACACCGTGTACTGCAAGCATGGACTAAAACAAGAAAGAAAATGTGACATATATATATATATATATATATATATAATTTTCTT